AATAGGGCATTCTGTTTGCGCATGTCGTTCTTCCTGAGCACTTTCTTGGTTGACACCATGCACTGGGCCATCATCGACACCGCCAGACTTCAACTGTTGCTGGAAATTGGCGTCCACGTGATGGGCAGACTCAGTTCTCTGTTTCACATCTTCTGTGTTTTGGGAAGGCTGTGGTAATGTGACCGGACGTGGTGCCTCCACTGGGGTTACTTGATCGGGTGATTCTGTAGAAAGGTTAATGTGTGAAGTCGATGCTTCGTTGTCCGTCTTCATTTCTGATGCCCTTTCTGCCAATTTCAACATGGCGGGTGGATTCTCCGTCTTAGCGGAGGGATGTAGAGAATTTCTGTCTGGACAGCCGACATCGGTTTCACAGATGGGCCCTTTGTCATCTGCAGCCGTACACATTGCCCCTGTCACACGCCGTCGTTCCTTTGGCCTCGCATTGTTTTCAGAACTATTGTTGTTGTTGCTGAAGTCTTCTTCTACCACGCTGCTCTCTTCTTTCTGTACAGTTTTTTGAAAACAAATATTTTCATGTTCACGCTCCTGAAGATCCGGTGAATTTTGCGCAGCGGGATAACCGTCATCTTCAACTGAAACGATACTTTCTGCTTCCGAAGCTGATTGTTCATTGTTTCTAATCGTGGATGCCCTGACATCCATAATACCGGAATATGTGCGCCTTAACATCACTATCTTTTGATCTTCTATGAACTGCAGTAAATCATCCAGGACTTTGGACACCTCTAGGAACAACGCTTTAACCTTGTCCGCCAACTGGATGACTAAAAAAGAATCAATGGTATCGGCGTTACTAAAAACATTAGTTAATGGTACAATTATCTTAGAATTGATGAACATGACGAACAACAGGTGCTGATGCTCGGAATGAGGATTTAGCAAGAGTGTTTTTGCCTGGAGATTGAATACCTGTAAACCCTCACCAAAAATATCCCTTCGGCGTACTGCATATCCAAATATTAACCAGTACAGTTTTGAATACCACTTAGCCAGGTTCTTCTCCTATTATGACTAAAATCAGTCAGGCAAATTTGATTACAGTTTTTCCTTTCGGCTATCAGAGGCAGACTCGTCAGACACTGTCTCTGACATTGCAGATCATGTGCGGCACTGCATATTTGGCAGAGGAAGACCTGACTCTAAAGTGAAGTCAGTGAAGACCCCGTACCGGATAATTCTTGGCCATCAATGGGGTCTTCGACAGGACGGTTGCGCAAGTAGTAGCCGTTTCGAGATTTTTCTGGAAGCGTTCGCAACACGTATGCAAACTATCGCAGTTGCGATTTCTCACTCTGTAGAAGCAGTGACAATTAAGCAAGAAGGTCTCGGTCTCGGACATCTGAACTCCGGACCATGTTGCTGCTTGCGAGTTCAGCAATTCGACTCAGAAAGCCCATTTCATCCGCTTGCAGCTAAGGTCAAATTTTTTAGTCAAGGTACATGACCCTACGTGAGCACTGAAATCGACTTAGTATTCAAACTCAGCTCTGACTTAACAACAAAGAGTCGAGCTACTACTATAAAAAGGCCACTGGTCATTTCAATCGATCAATCGATCATCTCTTCTTCTCACTTTGCATTACCAGCAGCCACGGTCGCGAGGTACCTCAACTTTCTAACGGGCCGGAAAGCACTGGATGTTTCAGTTTAGGCACGTTCACTGATGCATTCCGCCCAGTGCCACAACCAGCTGCATACTGTTCAAGAGAGCATTGGAGGTCAGTCTCTGTAGATGCAAGCAAGTCAGGGTCGTCTGCAAAGAGCAACGTTATCGTCTATAAGATTCCTATCCCGATACACTCATCGCCATGGCTGCGTCCCATTATTCTGTCCATGTACAACACAAATAAGAGAGGGGACAGAACGCAGTCTTAGAGAAAAGGGGTGAAAACGCTGAAGAATACCAAATTAGCACAATCTAGCTCTGTCGCAGCACATACTATTAACATACAGCAACTTGATGATTCGCAGTAACTGACCATCGATCCTATATCCCGTTTGCAGGCATGCCCATAGACCACTTCATGGGATCCGATAAGAGGCTTTCTCTGGTGAACAGAGCATACGCAAACCGCATGAGCGAATTATCAATCTTTCACTCTCACGTCAGCAGCTGTCAAAGAGAAAAGTTGAGTCCTTTGAGCTAGAATTAATTTCGAATAATTTTTTACATAATGACTCGTGTATATAGCGTAACGGCATAAATTGCCCAGTCACGTAGCAACTTTACCTAGAAGGTTTTGGCCAGCATGGAGGAATCTGTTTCGCGATTTTTCTCAACTGCGATCTGTGGTCCATACCTATATCTCGGTTCATACAAATATCACTTTGAAAAAATTGTTACAACGGAAATTTCAAATGACTTTCAAATTGTCCAGTGCTCTTGGGAGAGAAATTTGGAAGCACAAAGACGAGTCGAAGTTTCCGATGAAGTTTGGAGTTGGAAAAGAGGTAAATATTTTATACAAAAATCACTGAATTGTTTGACGCGAGTGCAGAAAAACACGTAAAATATTTCAAGTACACTAATGTGCCTGTTCAGAAAGTCGTTTAACAAGTAAAAGTCTCTGGACATGTCGCAGAATTGCAGTTTATGTGATAATAAGGGTCGCTTCCTGGCAGATATGCACTTGTATACCATGCAACCCGGTTTTTGATAAATCTTCATGATAAACCTATCTCCTGTACGTTACGGGATTAATCTTATTTTGCGTTCTTCTTTTCATAGCCCACGAGAATAGATATCCTGAATACAAACAGGCGGGTACAATAGGCTGGTTCATTATAAACAGAAAGCCGTCATGATGTTCCACGTTAAGCAGCAAAGGTAGGTTTTCATTCCACCGGTCTACATGACGTAGACTTGCCACGTCTTATGAATGACACCCGCTTACAAATATTCTTCTTATTTCAAGCAGCTTAGAGATCATATGGTCAGACCTCTGCTCAGTGGTATTATTAAGACGCTGACAGCACAGGATGCAAATCGTCTGATCTCTCAAGTGCCAGAAATTTGCTAACAGTATGTTATAAGGAATTAGCTAATGCATGAAAACTTCATAACACAACTGTGGCGACCAATTATGGCATTCTCGGGCAATCAGCAAAGCATAATGAGGCAGAGCAGCACGGTTAAATTGTATAAAGCACTTAGAGTAAGTCTACCACATGAGGACCAGGTTTATCTTTCTGTTAACGTATCGCAAAGTATTATCTAGGCAAATAGGGTGGAGTTTAAAGGGGTGGAGTTTAAATGGCTGTTTTCACCCGTTAAAGCGATTGAGCTGCAGCGGAAATAACATAGCAGCCGATGTCCATCATACGTAGCCTGAAGTATTGCAGCGACCTATGGCAAAAGAGTCGATGCTAATCCAAATTAACAGTTTGTGCAGTCGGAGATTAAAGCGTTATATGCTGCTTTTTATTTGACTAACAACATATGAATGAGTACTCTTATTTAAAATAAGCATATGATAGCAGTAGCGTCCATCTGAGTCCACAAAATTGTTGCTATTGAAAGATTAAGGGGACTCTATATCAAAATTATTTTTTATGCGTCAGCCAAAAATGCACCATTCTACCAGTCTTACCTAACATGATGCAAAGATTAGTATTTGATGCGCAACTTACTTCGATTCTCTGTTTGTTGCTGCTTGCGAAGCATCAACAGAGTTTCTGCAGCGATGTGTGCGAGACAGTGGTTGATTGTCCTGATCTCTTCATAGAAAATTCTTTCCTTTACCGTCATGTTTTCCATTTTTCTCTTAACCGCACGAATTCAACACGACCTGTGGCAAATGCGACGCTAAACAGAAGAAGGCAGCCCGTAACACACCGAGAAACGCAATGAATAAGAACGGACGAGTTTTAATACGTTGATGGGTTGCTTAAAACATTACTTTAAACGTACTTCACAGCACGACTAGATTTCGGTTTCTCGTTTAAACCAGACTCTAAGTGCAAAACTGTATGAATTGACTAATTGTAAATATCACCTGTTCCGACATTAATTCATTTTGTCATATTTAAATAGGAGTTCAAGATAATCGGTCGACTGCGATTCAAAAATCCAGTGGACTGCGCTGATCACCACATTGCCGCCACCAAACTTTCGTTTCAGGCTTTCTTGACACAGCAGCTCTTATGCACATTAAACAGAAAATCATGCCATTTTTCTCGAGCCCTAATATAAGGTTTGCAGCTTACACGTACGTGTCTGCGACTGAAACTAATTCGTTGGTTATCGATGAACCGAGTTGCGTATCGGAGTCATCTCACTTTCCTCTTCCGGCATTGCCCAATGACGTCACTTACTCGCAGTCTGATTATTGCGCTTAGAATCTGACCGTGGAGGGAAATAAACACACTGTCTCATTTCCATGTTCCTATAGATTTGTCAGTTGACCCGCGTTGACTCTGCTGATTCTTTAAGTAGGATGACCATGGAGTTAAAATGCTGCTTAGAGTCAAAACCGCTTTCCTGAAACGTCAAAACGGCAGCTTTTCGCTCCAAACGTTGCAGCTACGGATCACAAAATGAAACTGGGAATCAATCCTCCAACCTGACACGAGTATCGGTTAATCACCCATGAATCACTTAGCCTACTTTGTGTATGAATAAACAATGTTTTATACCGTCTTCTAACCTGAAAAACAAGTATAATGCCAGAACATGAAGCTCCATGTTCATCGCTTCGTCTGCTTCGCTGTGCTTGGAAAACCTATATTACTGTTATTAAC